ATATTGCTTCTTTTTTGGTCTTTTTACTAATCAATGTAGTAAGGAAACTATAAGGGCAGATATTTTGATGATTATTCTGAAAAGAAATGGCAACCTAAATACTATTAAGCAATTCAAGCAGACTCAACTCCTCATGTTATGGAGATAAAGGTAAATCTAGGTTTCTACCTCACATTCTTTTCAATAGACTTTACAGATTCCTCTTTCCTGGATTTTTATTTTTTAATATGTGTGTGTGTGTGTGTGTTTGTGTGTGTGTGTGTGTGTGTGTAAAAACCCTGAAAGCTAGGCGTCGCATTTCTGTAGTCCCAGCATCCTCAGCCCTGGGTGGGTGAAGCAGGGAAGGGCTGATACTCGGCAGGATTTGTTACACTAGACAATAAGATTGCCACACTCTGTTTTTTTTTTGAAACCTGGAAGAAGTCATGAGCCTTAACTTGTTTTTTTTTTTTTTCTGTGATTGAACGCCTGGCAGCTGACCAACTGATGTAATTTTAGGGCATGAGTAGCTTATGGCACATTTATGTTGTCATAATATGAAGTGCAATGACCAGAAAATGGCCTGACATAAATGATGTCTTGGAATGCAGATGTTAATCAGTAGACAAAACCCTTAATCCACACGTTTTACTTCATTCTGTGAACAGTTCTTAAGCTCACACACCTAACTGCAAAATTGCAGCTATTTCTGTAAAAATAAAGGATTAATGTTGTTTCTTCTAATTACAAATAAATATTGATACAGTTTTCTTCAAAAATAATAACAAAAGGAGCTGGAAAGATGGCTCAGTGGTTAGGAATACCTGCTGCTTTTACAGAGGACCCAGGATTGGTTCCTAACACCCTCATAGCAGCTCACAACCATCTGTAACTCCAGTTCCAGGGGATTTAACACTCTCTTCTGGAGTACCAGGCACACAAGCAGTGTGCTTACATAAACGAAGGCAAAACACTCATGTACCTTAAAAAAAAAAAAAAGGTAACAACAATAGCAGCACAGGAAGGCAGTCTGCAGGACCACATGGATGCTCAAATGATCCAACAGTAGGACCCAAAATACATTTCAACAACCTCTGGTCTTAGCAACGTACACAGTTAAACACAAACAAAAATATAACTTACCTACAATTCACAGTTGCTTTCCCACCTTCGAATTCTGAATCCTTTCCCCATCTCTGAGGTAATTCTAATGCCATGAGTCCTTTTGTTCCTATGAGTGCTACATGATGTTGTGTTGGACTTAACAAGACTTGATGAATTTCAAACAGGGGTGGATTTATGCAAAGTAATCTCTGAAAATTAATTTAGTAAAAAGTTAATTTTAATGTTAGTATATTTGGGAGTTGCATGAAACCATGATCATGCTTTAATTTTCTTTCTTTTTTTCATGCTTTATTTTCTATAGTTACAAGATAACAGCATTCTGGGTAACACACACACACAAACACACACACACACACACACACACACACACACACGAAGTCTTAGAGCTAGAGAGATGGCTCAATGGTCAATAAGAAGCACTGACTACTCTTCCAGAGGACCTGGGTTCAATTCTTGGCACCCACATGGTGGTTCTATAACCATTTTCTGGCCTCTGTGGATTCCAGGCACATGGATAGTACACACACATATACAGAAAAAATATGCATACATAGAAAACTAAAAACAAACAAAAAACTGTTGGCACATGCCTTTAATCCCAGAACCTTGGGACGCAGAGGCAGCAAGGTCTCTGAGTTCAAGGCAACTAGTCTACAGAGTGCGTTCCAGGACAACCAGGGTTATACAGAGAAACACTATCTCAAAAAACAAGTTCAAAACCAGCCTGGTCTACAAGAGCTAGTTCCAGGACAGGCTCCAAAACCACAGAGAAACCCTGTCTCTAAAAACCAAAAAAAAAAAAAACAAAAAACAAAAAACAAAAAAACAAAAAAGCAAAACAAAACACAACACCCTGCCCCATCACTTAACCTAGTAGGCACTACTTGAGATTTGTTTTTCTTCTCTCTATTCCTGGCTTCAAGCAGACTTTTGATACTTAGAGAATAAATAACTTTTGAAGTATTAATAAAAGATAACCATTTTATAAGGAGTACTGTAGAATACTGTAGACTAGCTTCAGGCCAAATGTGGTGGTGCACACCTACATTCCCAGTACTGGAGAAGAAGATAAAGGTGGTTCTATTTGAGTTCCAAGCCACCCAAAGCTACAAAGTGAAACTCTAGTTAGCTTCAAAAGTTCTGTAGCAAGCTGGGCGGTGGTGGCGCACGCCTTTAATCCCAGCACTCAGGAGACAGAGGCAGGCAGGTGGATCTCTGTGAATTTGAGGCCAGCCTTGTTTACAAGAAGTAGTTCCAGGAGAGGCTCCAAAACTACAGAGAAACCCTGTCTCAAAAAACCAAAAAGAAAGAAAGAAAAAAAAAGTGATATTTTAAAGGAGTTCCAATAATTTGTCACAACATCGTACATCTTCAAAAATACACATGTTTACACTGGTACTTCCTATTTCTTTCCTCATAACCATTTCTGGTTTCTATTTTCTTTTCTTTTTACTCTTAGTAAATAATGATAAGATTGTCAATATATTATTTACCTTTGTATAGAGAATCATGCTAAGCCAAAATCATTTAAGATAAAGTTTCTTTGAATATAAGGAGACTTCTAATTGCTTTTCTATCTGTAGGCCATTGTGCCTTTAAATGCCTGTTGCAGAGCTAGGAAGTAAGGGTACACAGCTTTAATTCCAGCTTTGATCAGGATCTGCCTGATCTCTAAATTCGAGGCCAGCCTGGTATACAAAGCAAGTTCCAGGACAGCCAGGCTGTGGTACAGGCTGTCTTCAAAAACAAAACAAACAAACAAAAAAATAAGTCACCAAATATTATAGAGCTCTTGGATGCTCTAGGTTTGTGTCATGAACTGGACATAAAAAATAAGGTATCAAACACATACACAGCCTGGCTCAGAACTGTAATCTCAACATTCGGGGACTGGGGCAGGAGTTCCAGACATACAGAGGCCTGGCACATGCGTGTGCACTCTCTCTCTCTCTCTCTTACACACACACACACACACACACAGAGAGAGAGAGAGAGAGAGAGAGAGAGAGAGAGAGAGAGAGAGAGAGGAGAGAGCACCTGGTTCAGACCTGTAATCTCAACACTTGGAGACTGGGCAGGAGTTCCAGACCAGCCTGGGTACATAAATGATTCCACTTCAGTAGGAAAAAAAATCAAAAGAAAACAATTACTTGAAATAATGTATGAATTTCTGATACGTGTTCTTACTGGGAATTTTACAGCAGGTAGATGTGTAAATGCTGCTCTCTTTTCTCAACAGCACTGGCAGCACCTTGTTAAAATCAAATCACTTCTCAAAAGAACCAGTCCAGGGCACACAGATCTCATACACTGGAATGAATGTCACATTTGGGTTTTTTTGTTTGTTTGCTTGCTTTCTTGCTCCTTTTTCGAGACAGGGTCTCTCTATGTAGTCCTGGAATTCGCTATGTAGACCAGGCTGGCCTCAAATTCAAAGAGATCCTCCTGCCTCTGCTTCCGAAGTGCTGGGATTAAAGACCTGTGCCACCAGTCTTGGTTTATAAAAAGTTTTTAACGAAGGAGCAAGGTAGTTTTGCTTGTTTTGTTTTCAATTAATTTGGGAGGGGGGATGCTACAGGGTTGTGGGGCAGATTTGGAGGGACCGGGAGGTGAGTGGGGTTGAGGTACATGATGTAAAATTCCCAAAGACTGAATAAAGAAACACACACACACACACACAAAGTATACATGCACACATATACTACTGAGGGAAAAAGTCTTTAAAAGAGAATCAGTTTACTACAAACGAAGACTTCAATAAAGCACAGCAAGTCTAGAATGCATTCTGATTATATCCGCTCTCACATGCCTTTCATCGGCTCATCAAAACAAGACCTAGTGCTCCCGTGCTTCTAGTGGTGGAGGTGAAGGTGTGTGTGTGTGCATCCCCCTGCGGGCGTGCTCATGGGAGTGTGTCTGTGTGCGCGCGCGCGTCGGTTCCCTGCACTGCAACAAACGAACAAGCCCTTCCAACTTTAGCGAGCGCCCCAAAGGGCAAAAACAAAACAAAATACGGGGACACCCTTTTTCATGTAAGGCAGGTAATTTGGTCCTTTAAAATCTGTGTTAAAGTTCAGAACCAACTAAAAGAATGTGTCACATCTTTTAAAAGAGCTTTTCGGGCCAAACGACGAAAAACGTTTGCTCCAACTTCTTTATCCTGTCTTCTTCGGAGCGCCCATCATTAACCATTTCACGGTCTTCTCCCCCCGCCCCCCTTAGCCCCCCGATACTCAGAACCAGCACGAGTTTCTCTGGGTGCCCGGCAGTGACCGAGTCAATAGATCCGCTGGAGACGACTAAATACGGGACAGACGGGCTTTTCCACCCGAAGCGGGGTGTCCCCGAAAGACGCCTGCTCAAGTCTGCGAGCGCACCCACTACAGGGCCAAACCACCAAGATGGGAAGACGCGAAGCCCAAAGTTGAGCGAGATGCCAGCTAAGGGCTTCCGAGACGGACTGGCGCACCTGGTACTGGGAGAGAGGAGGCTCCACGGCGCCACCGCTCGGGCCTCGAAGGCGAACCACCAAGAAGGCGCTGCCTTCGGCGTCCCACAGGAAGAGCTCCCCTCCCAGGCCGAAGACCAAGTTTCTCGTCAGCAAATGCGGCGGCAGAGGCGGGCACGAGGGCGAAGTCGAAGCCGCTGGTTTCTCCGCTTCGGCCGGACTCTGGTTTTTCAGGCCCTCGCGGAGCCGCAGGAACACGACGTGGTTGGGAAGCCAGCTCTGCCATAGCTCCCCATCACCCACAGACGCCTCGGCCGCCGCCATCTTGAACTGACAGCGCTAGGGTCAGGGCCTGCAGCCCGCCGCGGCGCGTAGCCAATCCGCGACCAGCACTACGCAGCTTCAGCCTATCAGCGAGTAGGAATCCCCAGAGCAGGCATCACTAGCGGAAAGCCCATCTACTGCGCCGCAGACCGACGCTAGAGTGGGCGGGGCGGGGTCCACCACCTTGCCGGCTTTGGAAGGCCGGCGCGTAGGGTTAAGAATGAGACCTGTATAGTTAATCGTCTACTGACGCCTCCCTTGGGATGAATCCAGAACTTTCAAGATTCAACTCCCTCAGCCCAGGTGCTGTCTACTTCTCAACTGTCACCACTACATCCATCCTTGGATTTCCCTAAACCTGTCTCCATGAGGCGACAGCCACTAGAAACAGTTCCAGGAAAGCCTTACGATCTGAAACTACAACTTCCAGAATCCTTTGCGCGCGGCTAAGGGGCGGTGATTCCGGAGCCGTCTCCCGCTAAGAGATGGCTGAGTCCTCGGGGTCACCGCACCGCTTGTTGTACAAACAGGTGGGCTCGCCGCCCTGGAAAGAAGCTTTCAGGCAGGTGAGTGTGAGATGTGGATCGTAATCACTTCCCTAATGGGGTCCCAAGGACCGCTGTCCTCTATGCCCTCGCTTCAGCCCTGGTCGGTCGTGAAGCAGATAACCGGAGCGCCTGGCCAGCGAGGTGTTTCTCGAACTCAAGACTACGGCAGCAGCCCCAGGTCCTGGCCACCGCCCGCTACCTCTCGGACTTTTGGCTGGAGTGAGTGCTATCCCAGGAAGCTTTGTTTTAGAATTCGAGTTTGTTTGAAATTTTAAGTGTCATGACATCGGTAGCTGATAATGTGACACCACCACTTGATGTTGGGTTACAAAGAGAAGCATTTTGTATGCATGCGTCGTGTGAGATAGAAATTATTTCTCTTCTAAAGAGTCAGAAGAGTCTCGGTTACTGTTAGGAGAGTTGTACTTAAGTTCGGGTCTCCTCTGAAGCCAAGTAGTTCCCTCTAAGAAATAGCGTATCTCCCTGTTCAGCAGTCTCTAAAGGGGTGGGTATAGTCAGAAAAGCAACCGTCATGCTAGAAGTAGTGTGTGTAGTAGGGGTTCTCAACTGTGAATACTGACATTTTGAAGAAGAGAGTTCTGTTATGGGAGGTTATTCTGTACAGTGTAGAACACTTAGATGTAGCATCCTTGAACCACCTACTTATATGACCTCAGCCAATAGCAGTTCTACAAACAGAGCTGTGACAACCAAAATGTTCTCTTGAGTTGGGGGTGGAGAGATGGCTAAGTGTTAAGAGCACTTCCGTTCTTGCAGCAGACATGGTGGCTGTAACTCCAGTTTCAAGAGGTCCCCCATTGCCAATCTTCTGGCCACTGTGGGCGCCTGCACTCATGCCATGCACATAAAACTCCTACAGGGGACACGGACACACACAATCATCAGGGTTGAGAGGTACTGTTGTACAAGAAGATCATGTCTATAACCATATGTACAGTAGCAGGATTTGGAGCCATATAAATGTCTGACGTCAGTCTGCTTTTGCAGTGACTGCACCCAATGCTTGCATTCAAGATAAAATGTGAAATATAGGCATTTGGAGGTTATGAGCAAAGCAGTATAATTTTACCTAGTTGTGTGTGGATGAGGACTCAAAAAGAATTTGTATCTAAAATTCTTTTAATATTTTACTAGCTGATTGTCGTCATCGTCCCCCCCCCCTTTCTTTTTGGTGGAATTGACCTTTTCTTTCTTTTACAATTCTGACCCAGGGATGTCTCGAGAGAATGAGAAACAGCCGGCACAGGCTCCTGAACAAGTACCGCCAGGCTGCAGGTGGCAACCCAGGGAGAGCCTCCGACAAGTTTCTTGTGCAAGAAGTGATGGAGGAAGAGTGGCATTCTTTGCAGTTGGTAGAGAATTGTCCGGAGGCCTTGGTTCAGGTCAGACAAGGAAAGGATCTGAAGCTAGGGGTTACTCCATGAAGAACTGGTGACGTCTTCCTGTCTGTCTGTCTGAGTCTTTTCAACCTACCCACTTCCCAGCCCCCACACATAATTCTAACAGCCTTTTGGCTCAGGCTTTCCTGCTTTTGAGTAGGTTATTTTATATTGATGATTCTGTAAAACTAGACTGCAGGCGTGCTACAGCCTTGTAATGAAACTAAACGTAGGAAGCTAAAAGGAAAGAAAATACCATTCTTGCTTTCCCCGCTGGAAATTTTGACTCACCATGATTGTGTTAGGGACTTCCCTTTGAAAAGGATGTCTACAGCAACATTGATTCCAGCCAGTTAAAGTTTAGAGTTGTGTGTCCATAGAAAACCATTACAGTGTATCGGACAAGCCTATGGGTAGGCATCAGAATTTAGGGATTCTGTTTAGTTTTACTGAATCACAACTTTACCGTGTTTCTTTGAGCCTTAGTATTTACATTTGCATAAAATAGAGACAGTGGCATGAGCATTTTGAGAACTGTGTAACAAAACATGGAAACCTTTGAAACCATCCAAGCACTGTGTAATAATGATTCATCTTGAGGGGCATCTGTGTGTCCTTGAGTATGCTACGTGGTGAGTGTAACCTCACCATGGTGCTTCAGAGTCTCTCAGGTCAGTCTTAGTCCAGCTTTGCAGAAGCTAAAATAGCTTTTCAAAGACTAGACCTTTTCTCATGGCCAGTCTTAGCACCTTTCCTTAGCTGCTGCCTGATTTCATCTCCCTTAAATTTGGTGGTGGGTACTCTGCTCGTCTGTTGTTAGTGTAGCGTAGCCACGTTACTGTGCTGCCAGCCAATTCTCCATGGGGACTAGTCCAGTTTCGCCAGGTAAATTTGGGGTCTTCAAGGTAGCTTCCAGTTACAAATCCCCATGGGACTTGGTGGCCGACTAATACTTCACATGGACTGTGAGACACCCCTTTCTTCTCTGTCTGTCTGTGCCATGCTCAGAAATCAAGCCCATGTCTTGCATGCTGGGTTAGCACTGCTCTTCTGAGCTCCCCTCCCTTCCCTCTACTTCCTCTTGTAGTTGGGATTGCCAGAGGACCTAGCTGTGCTGCAGGACATCGAACAGGAGCTGTGTGATGAAGGTAATCCCAGGATGTAGCCCTTTCCTCCCTAATGTGCACCTCCTCTTGTGCTGGCCTCTCCTCGACTCAGGATTGGTTTTGTTGTTTTAGATTGTCTGGGTACCAGGGATTAAACCTAGAGCTCTGGGCACAGAGGCAAACAATAACGCTATAGCCCCAGCCCTAGGATTAGTTCTTAATTACCGTTCTTCTACCTCCACCATCAGTTTAAGTGTCCACAAGGCCCTCTGAACTCTTCATTCTTGTCTGTCTTCCCAACAGTAAGGGCCATTGGCTCTGTGTCGGGAACTTCTCATTCCATAATACCATTTCCTCCATTCTGACTGCTGTGGAAGATGGGATTAGACGGAATAGCAAACGCTGTCCTCACACAGGCCACATAGCTAGCTAGTCAACTGTAGAGCTGGGAAGCAGTTCCTGTTTTTATTTTATCCTGCCTCTTGCAACTTTGTTCAGCTGAACACTGTGGCTTGTGCCTGTAGGACGTGTGATTTATTGTAGGAGGTTGGGTTTTCAGGAAGGAGCCTGAGCCTTCAAACTTCAGACTAGCCAGGGTAGCATAATAAAACCTGCCTCTTGAATAGTAAACTTGTCACTTTGCGTACATGGGCAGATCTTTTCATACACACCCCAGGGCCACCTCTCATCCATTCTTCATTGGTTGCCCAGGGATTTGTGAGCATCTGCCTCTTGGAGTTCTGATAGCATTGTGTGGCATACACTGTTGGCATCTTATATCATGGTGACTTATTCCATATGGCTTTTTCTTGACTGGGTTTCACATTTATCTGTGAAATGGAGATAATCGACCCGCTCTATGGGTACAGGACAATCCTGGGCCTTTTGCCTTGCAGAAAAGTCCATCATAAGCGAGTATGAGAAGAGTTTACAGTTTGATGAAAATTGTCTCAACGCCATGTTGGCTGAGTGGGAAGCAAACCCCCTCATCTGTCCTGTGTGTATAAAGTAAGAATTTTCTAAATTTTTTTTTAACAGTATTGGTTCTTATCCCTACTCCAAAGTGAGTGTGATCCCTCTGCCCCTTAGTTGATTGATGGAGAGGTATAGGGAGCCAGGTCTTGTTACCACAGTGATCTGGGAATCCCAATTCTGTCTCTAGGTACAACCTGAGAATCATGAACAGTGTGGTCACGTGTCCGTGTGGCCTGCACATCCCACTTCACGTAAGTGTCCACACAGATTCCCTATATACGCCGACTGTATTAAAGAACCTCTGTGCCAGTTACTTATTGTCACAGACAAGGTACCCAGCAGCAATAACCCGAGAGGTTTATTTTGGCTTATGATTTCAGAGGGGTCAGTGCATCACGGCAGGAAAAGTGAGGCAGAGTGCCTCCATGTAGGTGAAAGGCAGGACTCCTCAGCATTTTGGCTAATAGGACACAAGACCTGTTCCTAGTAGACCATGTCCACCAGATAAACTTCCTGTGCTTTGCCTGCATGTATGCCTGTGCACCACGTGTGTGTCTGGAACCCTGGAAGTAAGAAGAGGGTGTTGGATCCCCTGTAACTGGAATTACACATGGTTGTGAGCTGCCATGAGGATACTGTCAGCCCAGGTCCTCTAGAAGATCAGCAAGTGCTCTTAACCACTCATCCATCTCTCCAGATCCCCATTTTTGAGGCAGAGTCTAGTAGTAGCCCAGGCTGGCCTCAAATTCAACTGTAGCTCAACTTCTGATCCTTCTGACGTCACCTTCCATTTGGTCTTTCTACTGTGCTGGGAATGAAATACATGACTCATTCTTGCTAGGCAAGCCCTCTACCACCCGAGCTACATCCCCAGCTCTACAGTCTAAGGCTCCGAAGAATCAAACTGTTTTGATTGGTGATTTAGGGTTTTTTTTTAACCTGTTGGTTTTTCAGTATTTAAGATTAGTTGGGGCTGGAGAGATGGTTCAACTGTTAAGAGCACTGACCGCTCTTCCAGAGGACTGAGGTTCAATTTCAGTACCCACATGGGCAGCTCACAACTGTCTGTAACTCCAGGATCCACCACCCTCACACAAAAAATACCTACAGGCAAAACACCCAAAAAAAAAAAAAATTAACAAAAAGATTAGTTGTGGTTGAACTTTCCTAGTCTCCAGAGCTGACTGAGCAGAAGCTGCGGGGCTGTTTGGAGGATCATGTAAACGAGCACAGCGCACACTGTCCCCACATGCCTGAATTTTCAGTCACCGGTGGTCCAGAGGAAAAGCCCAGCCTTCTGATGAGCTGCCTGGTAAGTCTCCTCGGGACCTTTCCCCTCTTGCTGGAAATAATGGCTTAGAAATAGGTAAATATTTAATGTTTTTTGGTGGATGCAGAATACAGGAAGTATCAGCTGGGTGTGGTGGCACTTATCTGGAATCTCAGGAGGGAGGCTGAGGTAGGAAGAATCTAAGGCCAGCCTAGACTAAGTAGTGAGGAACTGTCTCAGAAACAGATGTTGGGCTGTCGAGATGTCTCGGTAGGTAAGAGCACTTGCAGCCAAACCTGACAACCCCAGTTCAGTCCGTGGACCTCATGTGGTAGAAACAGAACCGATCCCTGCAAGTTGTCTTTTGTCCTCCACAACATGTAATGTGCTTGTGCACGCCGCTTTCTCTCACACGCTCACGGATGATTAAAGCTTACGGAATGAGCAACTTAAATAGCCTGGTAAGCAAAGGGAGGGTAGGCTTAGAATTATGGCCAAGGCATTGGTCTGGAAATTGGAGCCTGCACTACATGCTTTTGTTGGGTCAGTGCAATGGCTTGAGATCTCCATACATGAGGCCATGGCCATGAATGAATGCCAGATGACCACCTTGGCATCGCTCTGCAGAGACACAGGAGAAGCGGCACAGTGGAACAGCAGATTTGTCTCAGCAAACCTTCATAAAGGTCTAAGACTCTTGCCAAATAGTAATCAGGTGTGAGGGACAGGACCAGAGAGGAGCCACCTGTCTCAGGACCCTTAAGTTTGCTGTGGGAACCAGTGTTCGTGTATATGACATATTATAGCTTCCAGGTCCCAAGTCACCAAAGTGCTGCAATGTGCCAGATACTCAGTAATAACCTGAACCCGCACATAAAATTTTTCAGTATTTTTGGGCTCCAACTGGACCTGACACCATGTTTCCCTTAGCACTGCTGAAATTACCTGTTCATGTCTTTGTTTCTGGGGACAAAGACTGTTTCTCTCCCTCTTGTTTAATTACTCTCCCCCCCACTGTCTGAGTTAGTGCATAAGTAGATACTGTGTTTCCACAAATGATTCACAGTGGCAGCAGAGTTGAAGCACAGGCCAGACAAATGGCCCTGGCCTCTGCCTTTTAGACAGTCAGTGCGGTGCTCAGATGGCTCAGTGAAAGCACTTGCCTGAGTTTGGATCCCTGCATCCCATCTAAAAGTCATGTAGGCATGGTGGCTACCTATAATCCTGGAATTCACAAGGCCAGAAGCAGGGAGATGCCTGGGACACGCTGGCTACGGACTAGCCAATTAAGGAACTCCAGGTTCAGCCAGAGTCCCTGTGTCAATAAAGTAGAGAGCAACTGAGAGTGACATCTGTCAGTTTGACTCCTACACACACACACACATATGAAGAGAAATAAGCACACCAGCCACCCCCTTGTAGAATTTCAAATGGTAGTGGAGCGCATGTTAAATTCTTTTTCTGGGGAAATATGATCTACATAGCCCTAGCTGGTCTTGAACTTGCTACTTAGACAAGGCTGGACTCAAAATCAGAGATGTGCCTGCCTCTCCAGTGTTACAGACTAAAGGTGTACACCAACTTTTTTTTTTTAAAGATTTTATTACATATACAATAGTGTTCCGCCTCCATGTCAGAAGAGGGCACCATATCTCATTGTAGATGGTTGTAAGCCACCATGTGGTTGCTGGGAATTGAAGTCAGGACTTCAGGAAGAACAGTCAGTGTCCTTAACCTCTGAGGCATCTCTCCAGCCCTACACCAACTTCTTTTAAATGTCAGTTTCAGACCAAGTACTAGAGAGGCTGGAAAGGGCAGTTAAGAACAAGCAGGCAGGCATGACAGTGTTTGCAACTTGGGAAACTAAGGTAGCGAAGTTTGAACCCAGGAGTTAAGACCAGTCTGAGCAAAGTAGCCCAACCCTAACTAGTCTCAAAGAAAAGCAGCTAATGATTGCCTGATTGCTCAGCTTTTTGTTTTAATTAAACTTGTACACACGTTGATACCCTGTAACTCAGAACAGCACTGTAACAAAACAAATGGTAGAGATGCCAGTGCTCTGGGCAGCAGCACCCTCAACTGACCAGCACTGGCTCCAGGCTATGTAGGTAGACCACTGGAGTACGGGGTTATCACCACAAAGATGAGAAACTGAGGGGGAGAAAAAAAATTAGAGTAAGCTCCAAGTTCAGTCCTTTGAGAGGTACATATGAACACATTTGAAATTCCCAAAGTGCCACTAAATCTCAGAGGGACATCAGGGATCACTGGGTTGAGATCCAGGAGTCCTCATATACTCGGGGTGAGGTGGGATATGGGCGTGGGTTACTGAAGAGGCCACAGAGAAGCAAGCTTACACCTGGGAAAGTCCCTGTCAGGGTTTGATCTTTATGGTTTCTGAGGGTACTTGGTAGTTCATCCACAAGACTTGATCTTAGCTTGGAAGCTACATTAGTGACGGCTTCATTGATAAAGCATCCCACTTAATGTTCATGGCCAGAATAATTTTCACTAACTTCTTTTCTGTCTAACCCAGGCATGTGACACTTGGGCTGTGATCTTCTAGTCATCCTGGCCTCACCTTCACTGCTGGGCTGAGAACAACTCATTCCCTCTGAGAGGGCCCTTGTATGTACAAGCCTTTTGTATATAACTTATTTTATATTAAAGCTTTTCAAACATCTCTGTTCTTGGTGTTCTGATGCAGGGCACAAGAAACAGAAAGTCCAGACTTTCCTTGGAGGAGATAAAATTAATTTTATTGTCCATCATTGTTATACAAAAATCTACAAGTAATAGATTTGTACAGGAGAAAATATCCAAGTGACTAGTAAACAGAAGCACTAACAGAAATAATTTAAACTTGCTTTTTTTCCTCACATGATATTAGGATGACAGCCATTTCAAAGCATGATTCTGATGTCAAGGTAGCTTTTGTTCACTGGCCAAAGCTTGCCATTTAAATTAAAGCCCTTGGTCTCTGACAGTTCTACTGGCTCTTGACGAAACTTTTGAGGTCCTCGAGAAAGGTGATATATTCTTGGTGCTCTAGGGCTGTACTGAGCTCCACCAACTCATCCGCAAAAGTGTTGTCAATCCCTCGGTCCTCAAGGAAATCCATCAGGTGGTCATACAAGGCCTGGGAAGAAAAACGTTGACTAGCTTAAAGAGCTGCAGACAGAGTTGGCAAGACAGCTTACGAAGTGAAGGTGTCAGTTTCTTGGGACCCACATAGTGGATGGAAAGAACAAGGTAGAAGAACCAAGTCCCCAAAGTTGTCCTCTGATCTTCCCACACAGGCATGTATGGAAACACATTTGTTTGTTTTTATAACATCACTTCCATTCCTTGACCCTTCTCTGCAAAAGCCAAAGCCCTCTCCACATCCACCAGCACTTACCCAATCCAGGGAATCTGTGTTGAGTGTGTAGTTAGTATCCCTCCATTCAGAGTCACCGGTGGTCTGAAAGCTAACTTCCTTGATAGAGAAAATATCACTCTCGGTATCCTCTTCTTGTCCGACCTGAGAGACAGCAGAGGTCTAAGGATGGTTATCTACCCTGCTCCCACCCCTCTCACCCCATCCTGGTCTTCTCTTCCCATCCTGGTCTAGTCCAGGTGAAATCAGAAGATACTCCACCCACACACCTCATCCTCAGGATAGTGACAGTCCAGTACAAGGGTCTTCTTGCTGTCACTCTTGGTAACTTCAACCACAAAATTGGGAGTTGATGTCAGTTCCGGCTGGAGAAACAGGAACAAGTCAGTATATGCAGTGCTGGTAGAGTGTACACACCCAGACCGACAGCCCTGGGTGGTGCAGAGTGTGATAGCCACAGCATCTTCACATACAGCATTAAACAGTTACCAGTCCTGTCAGCAACTTTCGTTCTAAAAGAACATGGGTTTAGAGTGGTGTTTCAAGTCCAGTACAGCTATGTACCAGCTCACAGATTTGTACCAGCCCTTCAGAGCTGTTTCCGCTCTGACACTGTAGTGATGGCTGAAGCAGACCTGGTGCTCCTTCCTCAATGGCTGCTTTAGCAGCTGTAGGATTGGAGCTTGGCACATATAGCTCTGGCTAAGTGGCCACCTTAGCCAGAAAAAGGAGCAACTTCCTTCTATAGCAAAGGACAGGCCCAGACATTGGGTGACGCATGCCTTTAATCCTAGCACTTGGGAGGCAGAGACAGGTGGATCTATGAGTTCGAGGTGAGCTTGGCCTTTAAGTTCCAGGACAGCCAAGGTTGTTACATAGAGAAACCCTGTCTCAAAAAAACCAATCCAACCAAACACCAGTCCTTCTTGCCTTTCGGAAGAGAAAAATGGCTGGTAGAAGTATCATTAGCTCACCTCCTGTTCTTCAGCCTTCTGCCCTTCTGAGGGCTCCTCCTCACCGCCAAACGTTGGAGGGATGCTGTTGTTGATGTTGAAGGTGACAGTGATCCTGGAAAGGCAAGTGAAAACACACTAAGGGACAGTACTAATGGAGGGAACCGCAGGAGAGAGGTCTGCTCCAGTGAGGCAAGTGTGTGAGGACAATGTCTCCACCCCAGCTGGCTGCTCTGGGAACTATCATAGCCACAAAGCTGCCATCCTGGGTCTTTCTAGGGAAGCTGATGGAGGTGGACAGCCATCTGCCCCAGAAAAAAAGCCTCACAAAAACCGCCAAACAGACTCACTTTGCACAGCCACACACAGGGAACTGAAACACACAGCAATGTTTTCTTTCCCCCTTTGTGAGGTCCTGGAGCTCAACAAACACCCTGTGTATGCTTGGCAGATGTTCACAGCTGCACGCTGCCCCTTTGTGAGAACTTTTAAGTTGTAGATGACAAAACATGTTCTAAAATGAGAAAAAATTCCTTTGCCTTGACACCAGGAAGCAGAAGGTTCTATTCTGTTTCAGCAGGGCCAACCCATGTAAGAACGCACTGAATGCTGCTTCCTGGAGCCGAACTGCCCAATGCCTTGCTGTCAGGCCATTTTGCCACAGATAAAAAAAATGACAGACATAAAGCATGCCTAACCTTGGACTAATCTGAGTTCCTGGGTCCAAAATGGGCTGAAAAACCCTAAAATGATTTAGGTGAAGTTACAAGCAACCTATGTATGAGGCAAAACACAATATGCTGTGCAAAAACAAACCGGACCCTTACTTCAAAAAGGGATCACAGACCTTAAGGTCTGAAATTGGAGAACTCTAAGAAAAACAGACTCAAATGTTTACACTGGTTTCTTCGTGCCAGTGCTAAAAGGTCTAAGGTGTGCAGCACTGGGGATTGAACCCAGAGCCTTACACGTTAGGCAAGCAGTTTCAACATGGTTTACATTCTTCCCCCATGTATGCAGACTTAATTCCTAAAGTTAATATCTCCCCGATCTTTGGTGCTAGGGATCAAACAAACCCAGGGCTCCATGCAATCTACCAAAGAGTGATACCCACTAATCCAAGAGTGGAAGCTTCAACCTGTGGTGTTTAGAAATGGGGCATTCACTGGCTATATCAAGCCAGGTGGGCTCCCGCTCCAAGCCAAGATATCTGCAATTGATAGTAGCTGCAAAGGAAAAACCAGTCTTCTACAATGGTATCAACAGAGATATAGCTATTGATCATACTTCATGGGAGGCCCCAATGATATTTTATACTGGGCTAGCCTTGATACACTAGCCTCTTGGCAATGGGATTAAAGGTGTACCTGGTGGTTTGTGTTTAAGAAAAACACAAGAGCTAGGCGTAGGCATTTAATCCCAGCACTCTGGAGGCAAAGGTAGGTGGATCTGAGTTCAAGGCCAACCTGGTCTACTGAGTAAGTTCCAGAACAGTCAAGATTACAGAGAAACCTGATCTCTAAAAAATCAAAACAAAAAACAAAAATAAGGGGTGGGGGGTATGGAGCTGGGTGGGTAGGAAGGAAATGGAAGGAGTAGGGTGTTGGGAGAGAGTGATTTCCAAGATTGAATTCTAAAGGTTTTAAAGAGACAGAAGGCCATCATCAGATGCACACACCCCAGAATCAATGAATGACCCTCCTCTTCTTTTTTTTTCCCGAGACAGGGTTTCTCTGTAGCTTTATAGCCTGTCCTGGAACTAGCTTTTGTGGTCTAGGCTGGCCTTGAAATCACAGAGATCCCCTCGCCTCTGCCTCCGGGATTAAAGGCGTGTGCCACCACAGCCCAGCCTTTTTGTTTTTTTAAGGGACAGGGCCTTGGCTGTCTGGAATTCAAGACCTGGGGTTGTAGGTGTATACCACCACAGCCCAGCCCGGCCTTGAACTAGGATTATTGACCCCCACGGAATAAAATTGCTTTCTAACTCACAGGAGAACACTGTGCTCGTGAGGCACTGGGAATTGATCCTGCCCTCACAAATGCTCGTACTTAGCCCAGGAGGACTTCTCTAAGGAAGACAGGGTGAATGAGTAACACAACTGCAGAAACAAGGGCCTAACAGTTTTAGGGGTGCCAGGTGTGGTGGCACAGGCCATAACTGCAACACATAGGTGTCTGAAGCAGGAGGACCCAGAGTCCGAGGTCAGTCTGTGTTATACAGCAAGATAGAGACCCTGTTTCACAAAGCAGTTTAGTGGAGGGAGTACATAAGCTAAGCTTGGCTAAGAACTCTACCTCTGAAGGACTGTCTACACTGTAACTTCATCCTGTTACTTAAACGTTACATATATTGCATTTTCAGCTGCTAGAAACACAAGTCAGAGAGTATAATTTTATGTCAATTCTAAACAAGTGAATTTATCAGCACTTTAAATATTCCTAGGGGGTGGGCGGTGGTGGTGAGCACCTTTAAACCCAGCAGACAGATCTCTGGAGTTTGAGGCAGATAAACAAACCAAACAAGAAAAAAAATCCTGGTGGCTGGAGAGATGGCTCAGTGGTTAAGAGCATTGCCTGCTCTTCCAAAGGTCCTGAGTTCAATTCCCAGCAACCACATGGTGGCTCACAACCATCTGTAATGAGATCTGGTGTCCTCTTCTGACATGCAGAGAATACTGTATACATAATAAATAAATCTTAAAAAAAAAAAGGAAAAAAATCCTAAACTTCAGTGCCTAAATCCAGCACTGTCATCAGTAACCCAAGGCCTGTGTCTGCCATTCCAAAAGACTTTTCTCTACACATTTTGGAGCTGCTTAATGTCTCCTTAATTACCGGCCCACAGCAGATGTGTATCCGTGAATGTACTCCTGGAACCTAAGAAAATTTCAAACTGCATGCTTTCTCCAAAACCGGGGCCTAAGCAAGAGCAGGATCGTCTGGGGATGGACAAGACTGGATGCTGCAGAGTGAGGAATTCAGCCTCCTACAACTCCCGAGCCCATACTTACTTTTCTCCAGCAACTTTGCGCAACAATTTAGCCTCTGTCCCGTTCACTTCCAGCTCCCAATCTCCAGACATCTTGGGAAGGGATTTATGCTTCTGGATTTTCTTCTCTTCCTTAATTTCATCCGTCAAGAATTCAACAAAGGCTTTGTCTCCTAAAAGGAAAACCAAGATGATCCAAAAACAAAAAAGCCAATTTTTACCTACAGACCTGGACGGTGTCTGTTCTTTTTCTGTGGCTGCTCCAAGACACTAGCCCAATTCACGCTTGAAAACGCCCGTTTCCCACTCTGTAAAAACCCCAGGATATATTTACTGGGCTGCACTGCGTTCTAGAAAATAATCTTCATGGACTATTATTACTCTCCGCATATCCCCAACTACCCTCTTCCACTTGCCAAAGGCATGCCCAGCAACCATTTTCAATCCAGGACCCCTCCGGGCCTTTGCCAAGTCATGTTTCCAAGACACGAGGAGAGCCTGCGATGCCAGCCCGGGATCCGTTCCAAGCTGGGCCCCCACACCCCGGCCTGGATGCGCGAACCTTACCCTCGGTGTGCAGAGCTCCACAGCCGCACGAGCAGGGCGCCGGGGTCTTCAGGAGGCCGGAGCGCCGCGCGGAGCCCGCTCGTACGCTGAGCAGCCCGAAGGGCCGAAGGCACGGCCGGGGCGCGGGCTGCAGCAGCTGTCGGTGCGGCAAGGCCCGGACGGTGGCTCGGAGGCCCGAGGCAGCGGCGCCCAGGGCGCGGGGCACGCAGCGCAGCAGGGGAAGCATCGCAGAGCAGGCACGTGCGAGGTAAGGACAACCGGGCCAAGACACGCTATAAACTCGTGTAGTACCGGAAGTTCCGCCTCCGCCCGGGAAGCTCTTTTACGTCAGAGGGCGTCAAGCCCCGGACCAGACTGCGCCCTCTGCTGGGAGCCGCCAGTGCAGCTGGGAGGCCTCGAATCCTATAGTAGTGTCCTCTGCCTTGCTGCCCTCTCTCCCCAATTCACCCACTTTTCTTAACCCGCACCAGGCTTTGCTACTTCGTGGAATGTGCTCAGGTCTCACGCCGACTCAGTCAGGGGCATTTACTCCAAAATCACCTCACTTCAAGGTCTTCTGGAACCGCCAATATGGGAAACGTTCAGGCTAGCCTGCACCCAGCTGCCGTAGAGTGAGCATTCATTTTGGAAACCTCTATACCCCCTATTAATTCAACCAGTTTTTTCTTTTTTTTTTTAAATGGACTATCCTTTTCCTGGGAACAGAAATTCATGGCTTACACCATTTAGGTAAAGAATCAAGGATACTAGGGGGCTGGAGATAAGGTTTCAGTGGTTAAGAGCATTTGTTGCTTTTGCAGAGGACCACAACCATCTAACTCGAGTTCTAGGGCATCAGACACCCTTTTTTGACTTCCATGAATACCAGTCAACAGCAAACATCAGACGCTCATGTCTTTTACTTCCAGCACCTGGGAGGCAGACAGCTCTCTCTGAGTTTAAGGCCATCCTGGTCCACACAGTGGGTTTTATAACAGCCAAGGTTACAAAGAAAGATCTTGTCTCAAAAAAAAAAAAAAAAAAAAAAAAAAAAAAAAAAAAATCAAGCTGGGGGCTGGAGAGATGGCTCAGTGGTTAATAGCACTGCCTGCTCTTCCAAAGGTCCCAAGTTCAATTCCCAGCAACCACATGATGGAGTTTACAACCATCTGTAATGGGATCTGGTGCCTTTTTTTTTTTTTTTTTTTTTGGTTTTTCGAGACAGGGTTTCTCTGTAGCTTTGGTGCCTGTCCCGGAACTAGCTCTTGTAGACCAGGCTGGCCTCGAACTCACAGAGATCCACCTGCCTCTGCCTCCCGAGTGCTGGGATTAAAGGCGTGCGCTACCACTGTCCAGCTTCTGGTGCCCTCTTCTGACCTGAAGGCATACATGTAGACATAATATTGTATATATAATAAATAAATTTAAAAAAAATCAAGAAATCAAGCTGGTGCACGCCTTTAACCCCAGCACTCGGGAGGCAGAGGCACACCTATATTCCCAGTACTGGGGAAGAAGATAAAGGTGGTTCTGTTTGAGTTCCAAGCTAAGCAAAGCTACAAAGTGAAACTCTAGATTAGCTTCAAAAGTTCTGCAGCAAGCTGGGCGGTGGTGGCGCACGCCTTTAATCCCAGCACTCAGGAGATAGAGGCAGGCGAATCTCTGTGAGTTCGTTCGAGGTCAGCCTGGCCTACAAGAGGTAGTTCCAGGTTAGCCAAGGCTACACAAAGAAACCCTAACTCAAAAAACCAAACCAAAACAAAACAAAAAAAAAAAACCTAAATATAGATAACAAGTCTTTCCAAATGAATGCCAATAAGACTAATGTTTAATATTCCAAACATCATTCTATAAACAAGGGAAAGGAGGCCCCCAAAAGGCCACATATTTAAGATTCATATTTTCCCCAAAAAGGCCACATATATAAATAAGATTCATATTTTTATAGTCAAAAGCAAATTTAAGCATTGCACACAAAAACTGTTTTTATGGTATGTTTGAGATCAGATAGAATATAGCAAAGTCCAAATCAACTTGGTATCTTTGCTCTTTAATTTTTTTCTACACAACAGCAATCAATATAAAATTTCCCCCCACAGTACAGTAGTCTAGCTGATGTGCTCAAGAATGGCATATTGGATGCATGGCCATAGTTCCAAACAGACCCTGGTAGTTGGAGTACAAGGATTTGTGTCACAGTAAATGTTTGAAATCTTGTAACAACTGGCAGAGGTGCAAAGGTTTTCACTGGGGACCTGGTAATGAAACCATCACCGTGGGTGTTGCAGCATGCTGTGTGAGGTTCATCTGTTTGAGGCTCCTCTGCGCAGACTGGATTCTTCAGGCTGGAGAGTTCACCCGCTGAAAAGCAGCTCAGGTTGCATCGCAGTAAAACCACGAAACAGTTGACTTTTTGTTGGTTTGGTTTTTCTAGACAGGGTTTCTCTGTGTAGCTCTGGCTATCCTGGAACTTGCTCCTGTAGACAAGGCTGGTCTCACAGAGATCCACCTGCCTCTGCTTCCCGAGTGCTGGGATTAAAGGCTACGTTATGGTGCCACCACTGCCAAGCAACATTTTACTTTCTTAAGAAAGCTTAAAGGGCACCGTCCCTGCAGCTCAAGCAATTATTAACTTCTCTGTAGTAATATGGAGTCAGAATGGAATTTCCATCTGATTTAATCCCTGAGCAGCTTTATTAAAAAGCTATTTTTTAAAAAGCCCAATAAAAAAACTAAATACTCTATTAAAATTCTACCAGAATGTTAAAGTGATGAACATATTTCTGTACAGAGACATTAAATCTACTCCAACTGTCCTTCACCCTTTTCCGGGAAGGAGCCAGTCACTCCAAGTTCCCAGTACCTGCTCTGGAGTGAACCCATACAAACTAAGTCTTTACTGACCCAGAAAACACCCTCTTACTTTACTGGGGAATATATTGCCTCCCCTTGTTTTCTTTAACCAGCATAATGAATGCTCCACTAAAAATACAAAAGTTTCTCTTACTAAGCAAGGCTAAATAAACACCCCTGCCCCTGTGTAAATAGGAAAAATACACTTTAAAAGGAAAATTTTCTCAATAGCTTTTCAGAAAGTTGGTAATGTAACCATTTTATCAAAGAAGTCATGAGTACCCAGACAACCCTAAACACTGGCTAAAAGCTTGATTGCTCATGGCTAGGGTTATAATAAAGCCCAGACCAGACTCAACATATACAGTTGTGGACCAGTGAGACCCTGGGAATGGAAGTGCTCACTCAGGCTATGCTCTCTGGAAAGAACATGTTGGACCCAGAGAGAAGAAACTGCCTACTGTCTTTGAAGTACTTTGTAGGCAGTTTGGCCCCTGCTCAAAAACAACACAATTCATATTATAATGACAGAATCCTAGCAGTAGAGCTGCGTCTGGACCAACTAATTATAGGGCTATATTTGGCTTTTTCTAGGGTCAAACATTTTCTAGGAAAAGTGTGCTTTTTCTCTCCTTTCTTCCCCTCCACTTGGATACAAGGTCCAGCCCAGGCTGGCCTAGAACCCAGTCTTCCCCTCAGCTGGATTACAGGTATGATCACCACACTAGGGACTGTTTGCTCCTAACAATCAACTAAGATGAATCTTTTCTAGACAGGAAAGGGATGGCAAGGCTTCTCTACTTTCCTCTGACAAAATTAGACAGTGAAGGTCAGAGAGTGGCACCTGGTTAGGAAGTGGCAAAACTAACTCTCCTCAGGTCCCTGCAACAAAGAGGAAAAAACCAATAAGACCAAAACCACAAAGACTGGGAGTGGTGAAAAGGACGAACTGATACCCGGCTTCTGAGCCGTCAAGCATCTGTCCCATCCCTGCCACCCAGCAGCTCCGACGAGGGTTCACCTGAACAGAGACTGCTGAAATGGGCGTGAAGCATCATGGACACACATTCGTAGGTGCCCACCCAAGAGAAAACGATCACTGGGCTTCAGAAGGCTTCTGCACTGAAAAGCTGGCTTCCCATTTTCAGGAAATCTGCATGTCTCCTGAAAGCACTGTGGGGGACACAGCCACAGAGGCACTAAGGGCCTCCTCTGCTGGTTTCTGCTTGGAGGCGGACAAGAGAAGGAGCTCCACCCTGAGCCATGAGGGCCAACAGGTCAGAATATATCTTATTCTGGCAATATCTGAGGGACTCAGTTTCTTCTGTTTTCTATTTCAAAGACATACAGGTCTTTAAATGGTAGTGGAGGCTGGGGACTGGCTCAGTGGCAGAGTGTTTGCATAGCATGCATGAGGTCCTGCATTCCATGAGGAGAAGGGAGCAAGGGGGAAAACACTGAGGTCAACCAATTGGATCTGGAGCTTCCTATGGCTCCTCCAAGAAACAGTCACAAGAGTTCAAGGGCTGTGTTGTACCTAATTATATCACAGAGCACAATGGCTTATAATTCACTGATTGTCTTATCTTGTGCCAGGCAAACCTCTGGGTAGCTTTCTGTTCATTTTCTCTAAACTTCATTACTCTGAACTTCTAAGTCTTATCCCCCTCTGGCATATGAAGAAATTGAGGCTCAGAAGTTAATTCAGTCATTAGAAATTGCCCAGTCAAACCCAAAGCACAAGTCTCGTATCTCACGGTCTAGGCATGAGCATGTCTACAAGGCTGAGTCTAAGAAGTTTCATCAGCACTTCCAAGCTCCTGAACTCAGCGAGTCTGGCTGCACTGAAGTGTACGTTTCCTCCAGCTTGAGTCTACTTGGAAGATAGGTGTGATCTAAGTTGCAGGCCCAGCCATGTTGGCAGCATTCTGAGGTGGATCAGTTTCTGGCAGTTCTCAGCTTCCTCCGGAAGTAGTCAGGGGCGGCTTCATAGAGCCACTCAGCATCCACAACACAGAGGTCACGCATGTAGCATTTGTTGGTGTACAGCAGTGCAGTGTATACCACACAGGCAGGTTTGCAGTGGAACAGGACAGACGATGGGTGGATGGCCACTGGCTGGTGTGTGTCTGTGGTGGCATAGGTGCCATCTGGCTGGAGTTCGGCAGTACTCATAAAGAGGCTGTGAGCCAGGCAGCGGCGGACACTCTCCATGTCCCCTCGAGATGACATGATTGGCATTGACATCTGTTTTAGGAAACAGAAAAGACCCCAAACATTAATCCTCCTCAGCACTGTACAGCGCAAGGGAGCAGCAAGACCTAAAGAGTGGCCAACACAAAGTGAAATCTTGATTGACATCCAAAGGTAGCATTTCAATTGCCATAGGCAGCAGTTCAGGTGAAGGATGAGGGCACAGGTGAGGGAAAATAGATGGAAACCATCCAGTTTGAAGAGAAGCATTTTAAGATACAGGATGGGAACCAAGCGGTGTGGTGGCATAAACCTTTAATCCCAGCACTCGGGAGGCAGACAGGCAGATTTTTGTGAGTTCGAGGCCAGTCTGGTCTACAGAGAGAATTCCAGGACAGGCTCCAAAGCTACAGAAAAACCCGACCTCGAAAACCCAGAAAGATACAGGATGGGAGCTGGAGAGATGGCTTAGAACTTAAGAGCACTGGCTTCTCTTTCAGAGGACCTAGGTTCAAGTCAAAGCACCCAGGACTATTTGTAACTCTAGCTGCAGGGGAACTTCTAATCTTCTATACCACAAGACTTGAGAGAGGGAGAGGAAGAGGAAGAGGAAGAGGAAGAGGGAGAGGGAGAGGGAGAGGGAGAAGAAGAGGGAAAGGGAGGGAGGGAGGGAGGG